GCTTCTGCGCCGCTGACACCCACCAGCCCATCATCCAGCTGCCTCCTGTTGCCTTGGCTCTTTTGGGTTACACAGCAAAAATGAGACAATAACGGTTTTTACACCACGTATTTGAGCCTTAACCTCTGACACCCACCACATCATCGTCCTCACTTCATTCATCTGCCTGCTATCGCTTTGTCTCTTGGGCTGTGCGGGAGAAGTGAGGCGAGCAATGGTTGCTGCATCGTGTGTTTGAGCCTTCCCAGCACCTCCGGTGTAATCTGTGGGTGCTTTGTTTATTATAGACCCTTTAGGGAAGAGACTCCATTTGTGGCTTGTAGAGCAGCAAGCACATTGTTCTTAATGAATAAATAATAGTAAAATGAGCTGTGCAGCCTAGGTAAATGCATTTGTTCATCCCATTACGTTGGCAGTGTCTCAGTAGTAAAACAATGGCACTTAGACATAGAAAAGGCTTATTTGATCATCCAGCTCAATTTTTCCTGCCAATTCAGAACTATCCCCAGTAGTATGTTCCAAAGTACCTACTTAAATATCCCATACACTGGCATTTCTGTCGCTACCTCCTTGTGACATCTGTGTGTGCAGCTCCAGCTCTGTGGCCTTCAGGAGCCTGCTGTTGGTTCAGATAGGACAGAGGCTCTCATCTGTTGTTTTTAAATTAAATGAGCTTTATTTTAATGGTATGTGAGATTTTGAGGAATAATAATAAAAAAAAGAGGACAAAGCACATGTCAAGAAATAATATAAGAACACATGGAAAGGAGGCTGAGCAGGGCTGGGGAGAAGAGGACATCTTTTTCCATAGGTCTTGGAAACTCAACAAATTTTCGGTAGCAGGTTCTCCAGAGGAGAGAAAAATGAGGGGATATGATGGATGAGTGGGATGTTTAAGGATGACACTGACAAACCCAGCAGCGTAAACTCAACCTTGAGTTAGTCTCCCCAAACTGAGTGACAATAACTCAGAAATGGTTTTATGCTGTTTCCTTTATTCATATTCTGTTATAGGGAGAAGTATTTCTCTGGACAATAGCCTGAATGTGGAATTCTTTAATAATAGATTGTTTTAATATCTCCCTTGGTTTTTGGTTGGTTTGGTTTGGGGTTTTTTTGGCATATCCCTTTGGCTTCTCTCCCTTGGTTTGGTTTTTTTTGTTTTGTTTTGTTTCTATTTTGCGCCATGCCAATGCTACAAGTT